TCTTCAGGCGCTCCGGGCGGCGCTAGGCGCACGCTTGCGTTGCATCCAAAGCCTCACCGATCGAAAGCCACCTGGGATCTCAGGGTTTGCTGCAGACGGAGACGGCACCTGCTTTAGGATTTCGAACTGGGAGTTGAGAGAGGCGCTGTTTCTCTCCGAAGGATGTGAAAGCTCAGCTGGGAAGCACCAGCGCCAGCCCTGAGGCGGGATCCAGGAGTCTCCTCGTTGGATGCAACCAAGATTACGAGGTCTGGAGTGGGAAGGGGATGGTGTGGGCACGACGAGGGGCACGCGCGCCCTGGCACGGGGGAGATGATGCGAGAAAGATGGGCCACCCGCGACAGCAGCCCGATCCGCTCCCTGCCCTGCTCGCCGATTCTGACGTGCACGACGCTCTTTCTGAGACTGATACCTGAATAGCTGGATGTTTCCCAGGATCCAGAAATGATTTTGGTGGAAAAGCAGGCGAGCGGGCTGCGATTGCGGCAGCCGTCATCTACCTGTGCGCTTTGTTTGGCGAAGAAGGTTGGATCCGTGCGCGAAGGCTGCTAGATAAAATAAATAAATAACTAAATAAAGGAAAACAAGACCTCTGGCCATGGGGTACAACGCAAGCTGGGTGACTTCGGTCAATGAAAGTGGCCAGGATCCCATCTATCCGGCTGTCGCCACGGCTTGGAACGCATCCGGTGCACAAACTGTAGGGATCAACCGAAGCGCCCCTGCGATCAGGACTCCCGAAGATGAGGAATACGGGGAAGAGCAGACGTACCTGTACTTTACTATCGTCGTTCAAGTTGTCATCTTTATAGGCTCTCTCTTAGGTAAGTCAACCCACTCGCCGTTCCCCCCCCCCTTGCCTGCTTGCTGTGGTCTTGTTTGTTACAGCGCGGCTGGAGTCTGAGGTTGCGGGTACCACCGGGGAAAAGCATCCTGGCTTGTTTTCCTTCAGTAAATCTGGAGACACGTTTAGCTTTGTGATGTCTCTCCAAGGGGGCGGGTGTTAGGCTAACTTTAGGTGTCAGCAAACCTGATATGTAATGAATATAATGTATTAATTGAGCATTTGTTTTATTGACATTGCCATGCATATGTGTGTGTGATTTGAGAAAAATCACCCTTAAGAATATAATACTGGGGGGAAAAAGTTTGCATTTTGTCATTATTCAACAGAGACAATAAAATGTTGTGTGGATATATTGGGTTGAGGAGGCAGGTTGAAAATAAAACAAGAACGGTCCAGTTTTTATGCAGTGGAAAGGTGCAGAAGAAGGTTGAGTGTTTTGTTGTTTTTTAACCAGTATCCATTTAATTTTCAATAATGTGGGCAATATAGCATTGTAAAGTTTTTCAGAAGTTCCATATATACTTAAGCTCTATTCTCCAATCTGCCAGATCTCCCTAGACATCATATAAAATGATTTAAATGTTTGTATTAATGTTTATTTTTCAGTAAGAAACTAGTAATTTAAACAGTGCTACGCGGAAAGGTTGAAATTGTCTGTTCTGTTGAACTTTTTAAATGGCATTAAAGGCTCTGGGGTTGAACCAGTGTAGGATAATAGTATGTAAGTCTATAGGAGCCAACTAATCAGTGTACTTTTTTGTTTTTGAAATATTTCAGCTGAGAGAGATTGGTTTCCCTGAGGCTGCTCAGTGAACTTCACAGGCGAAATATTTCAGCAGAAAGGTTTCAATTCAGAATCAACAACTTTCTGCATCACACCCACACAACTATAGTTCCACTCTAGATAACTTTATCCACAATAATAAGCCAGCTGCATACATCCTGTTCAACATGTGGGGATCTCCTCACTTGACAGATGCATAGCATGAATCACTTTTCTGAGGATGGAGGAAATGAGTATCTGTAATCAGACTCTTTCAAATAGATGGTCAAAGTTAATGGTGCTGATCCTGCATACAGCAGCAATTATGCTGTGCAAGAACATTCTGCACTTCTAGGTGTTCAGTGCAGTTCCTGTCTGTACACCACCTTTTATGGTTGTAAACTGCATATAGAAGTGCAGGTCTTTTGGGTGTAAATAAATAAAGAATGAGTAATAATAATAATAATAATAATAATAATAATAATAATAATAATAATAATAATAATAATGATGATGATGATGATGATGATGATGATGATGATGATGATGAAGAATAAGAATTGCGCTCTATACCAGAGTAGAGTGCATTCCAGTAGTCAAAAACAGTTAAAATACAACCATAACATAATTACAATGTTAAAAACATACAGTAAGCAATTATCATTCAATGAGACAACAATCAAGATAACTATAATAACAATATAATGATTGAAATAAAGTAATTCTATCCCAATAATTGCCTATTTCCATGGTCAACCCCTATGGTTCCAGGTTGAACAAGTAGGTTTTTAGATCTCGTTTGAATTTGTCCAACCCTGGTTCCACATGTAGCTATTGCACAAGGGAATTCCATAATTTTGGGGCCAGATGAGAAAATACTCTAAGACTGGAGTTCGCCACCTTAGTCCAAGGGTCTAGTAAGAGCCCAGAATCCGCTGATTGAGTCCTACAAGGAATATGCCACCCCACCAGTTCCGCTAAATAGCTAGGGCAAGAAAGATGTAATGCTTTAAATGTCAGAACAAGAACCTTATAATATTTTCTTGATCTGATGGGTAACCAGTGCAATGCCCTGTGGTGCCAGGAAATGTGAGAGTAGCACGGCAGTTTAAAACTACTTGTACTGCACTATTCTTCACCAAGGTAAGAGGACGAAGTGGAGAAGAAAAGAGACCAGCTAACAAGCTATTACAATAATCCAAACTTGAAACCACCATGGCATGAACAAGAAGTTTTGTAGTCTCAAGAGTCAGGAAGTGACAAATTTGGCGAATATTAGTCTAATGGAGATTATATGTCTTGGCTGTCTCATTCGCAAATGAACGAAGCGACAGCCAATCATATTGCACACACACAGGTCTCTTCTGGAGCAGACGTTGTCTCTCCTAAAAGGAAATGGAACATTTTTGTATGGATATGTTGCATGCGGATATGATTTTGAGTGTGATGTAGTGGACTGAGTGACAGACTAGGACTCTGGACAACAGGATCAAATCCCTGCTCAGCCATGGAAACTCACTGGGAGAGTAGAACTGGTAAAAAATCTCACTTGAAAGCCCTGATAGGGTCACTAAAAATTGGTTCTGACTTGATGGCACAAAACAACAGCAATAGGGTATGTAGATGCATGGAACGATCTGCTGAAAAATCCTGTTGTTAATTTTTAAGTACAGTAATACGTATTCTTTTTCTATTACAAGGGAAGAGTCAGTGTAAACATGTCAATCAGTTCCTCCTGTCATACTTATCAAATATCAATTAAAAGACTATTACTTGGAGTTGATTAAAATAAATGCAATGATTATAGTGATATTATTCAAGGTGTATTCACTGGGAATGAATAGGTTGAATGTCTAATACCTATTGAACACATCACTATAATCTAAAACTTTATTATCTAAGTACATGAAAACTTTGAGTTAAGCTTAGCAGAAGCTGCTGTTCATTGAAGCCAGTTGTTGGCTTCTTCTGCTGTCTATAACTTAACGAAGCAATGAAGAGATTTGTCATATAATTTGGCACTGTCAATACAGAAATGACTTTATCTTAAGCATAAATGTTAAAATTATATTATTCAAAGTATATTCACTGGGAATGAATAGGTTGAATGTCTAATACCTATTGAACACATCACTATAATCTAAAACTTTATTATCTAAATACAAGAAAACTTTGAGTTAAGCTTAGCAGAAACTGCTGTTCATTGAAGCCAGTTGTTGGCTTCTTCTGCTGTCTATAACTTAACGAAGCAATGAAGAGATTTGTCATATAATTTGGCACTGTCAATACAGAAATGACTTTATCTTAATCATAAATGTTAAAATTATTCTATTGTTTAATAAGACAACATTTGCAACTATTGAAGCAAGGAGACAGAGACAATATTGTGCTACTCTCCTATATTCTGTCTGTCTGGTTACCTCAGAAAGGTCAGAAACAGGTGGCCTATAATTAAAGCTGGAAACAAATTAACTGTTGCAGGGAGGCAACTGAGGCAGTCTTCCTAGGTATGTCAAATGTATATCACTGAAGTCAAACTTCAGTGATAACCAATATCCTGAAGACCAATCCCCAAACAAGCAATCTGGTCCCCATAATCCCAGAGGTGGCAGAATCTTGTGACAGGGCACTTAGGCACTTAAGTTAGGGAACAATTTCCCTCTTCATATACCAGATTATCTCTAAAATATGTTTCTGGCCTAAGTTTCCAAAGCAGTTGAAAGCAACAAGAAGTGAAATTCAGAGAAAAGAGAAAAAGCTTCTGCCCTTCATTCTCCTGTGCTTTGCTGACTTATCAAATGATGCATCTGTGAACCTTAGAGTGCATATCCATATTAGTGTATAAATGTTTGCTACCCACTTCTGTTCTCATTATCTGCTATGTCCGCTAGGTAAAGGTAAAGTTTCCCCTTGACATTTTAGTCCAGTCGTGTCCTACTCTAGAGGGTGATACTGATCCCTGTTTCCAAGCACAGAGCCAGCGTTTGTCCGAAGACAGTTTCCATGGTCTTGTGGCCAGCGCGACTAGACACGGAACGCCGTTACCTTCCCACCGTGGTGGTACCTATTTATCAAATCACATTTTTTACATGCTTTCGAACTAATATAGTTCAAAATAGCTTTTTGGTGTAGTTGTGTTGCTGTGTGTTCCAAATAGGTAGACACTTATCTGTCATTTGCTTGGCCCAGTGCAGATATAACAGGGAAGATGACCTCGTATTTGCCCCTCTTTTTCAGAGCCTGACACAGAGTCTTGTGGTGGTCACTGGTGTTTTCACTGGTTTTGTTTAACATCAGCATATGGATCCCTTCTAAGGAGAAAGGATAGAAATATTTTAAATATAAATAATTTTAAGTTTGTGTTATGAAATTCTCAAAAAGAGAGTAAATTATCTGTGGGACTGGTGTCTGGTAACTGAGTTGCCTCAGATGGGGGTGTATGTTACCTTAAGAGCATTGGCTGTGGCTGTGAGAAATCTTATCTCAAACCTTCAAGGACAAGATATTGCTGTGAGAAACATGTGAATTGCACCTGTCTTGTCTAATCAGTTGTGGTGATTATTATTATTAGTTTTATTTATATGCTCTCTGTCTCCCGAAAAAGGGACCCAAGGCGGCTGACAATATTACCTTTGCAGAAGTTGCCTACTAGAAAGTTTGTGGAGAAATGCAACCTGATTCGTGAAAGGGGTCAAAAGTTCTAGAGAGAGGATGATGAGATATAAGTAGGACCAGAAGAATGGAGCATTCAGGTTTATGCCCATCTACCTTTTGCAAAGAGCCCTTGCTTGCTGAACTTCATCTCTCAGGAGAAGGTAATCTATGCCTCCCACTATGCTGAACTCTTCATCGGCACTGGGACCCTGCTACAGCTTTACTAATTTGCAAGTATCGATGCAGGTTGCTAGCTTTATTATTTTCTGTGACTCTTATTCCTAATGCTGCCTAGTCTCTGAATATGTTTTATTTTTGCTTTTTATTATGGAGCTGTTTTACATCATTTTGATACTTGTAATCTACTTTTGAATATGTAAAGTCATGTGAAAAAGAAAGTACATCCTCTTTGAATTTGATGGTTTATGTATCAGGACATAATAAAAATCATCTGGTCCTTAGCAGGTCAGAAAGTTGGGTAAATACAACTGCAGATGAACAACAGCACATGACATTTTACACTGTGTCATTATTTATTTAACAAAAATAAAGTCAAAATT